AAAAACAGCACCTTGAATTGGACCTGGAAGCAAACTGGCAACCAGTGCAGCTTGCAGAGCAGAGGTGTAACGCATACCACCCACATACCATGACTGCCTGCGCTGCTGCATTTTGCACCAGCTGAAGCTTCCAGATACTCTTCAAGGGCAGCCCCATGTAGAGCGCATTACAGAAATCCAAACAGGAGGTGACCAAGGCATGAGTGACAGTGATTAGGTCCCTCTGATCTAGGAATGGACACAACTGGCGCAGAACACGAAGCTGTGCAAAGGCCCTCTTAGCCATGACTGCCACCTGCTCTTCAAGCAGGAGTCGTGAGTCCAGGAGGACCCTCAGATTGCACACGGTCTGTCTGGGGCAGTGCAACTCCATTCAGCACTAAAGATGGCATAGCTCTAGCACCAGAAGGCCCGAAAACCCACAGCCACTCAGTCTTGCCAAGGTTCAGTTGAAGCCTATTGTTCCCCATCCAGACCCTCACAGCCTCCAGGCACCGGGATAAGACATTCACAGCACCACTTAATTCGCCCAGGGCAGAGATGTATAATTGGGTAGCATCAGCATACTGCTGATACCTCACCCCTTGGCAACAGATGAGCTCACCTAGCGGCTTCATGTAGTTGTTAAATAGGAGTGGGGAGAGCACCGAACCCTGCGGCACCCCACATAACAGGGGCCAAGGGTGAGATCTCTCCTCACCAACCACCACCAACTGGAATCAGCCCCGGAGGAAGGAGGCGAAACAGCACAACACCATGCCGCCCACCCCCAATCCTCTGATCCAATCCAGAAGGATACCATGGTCGATGGTATTGAAAGCCACTGAGAGGTCAAGTAGGGCAAGGATGGATGCACAACCCCCATCCTGCCCTCACCAGAGATCATCCAAAAGTGCAACCAATGCTGTTCCCGTACCCAGGCCTGAATCCCAACTGAAAGGGATGCATATAATCCACTTCATCCAAGGTCCTCTGAAGCTGTTGCACAACCACCTTCTCAATCACCTTCCCCAAAAACGGGAGGTTAGATACTGGATAAAAATTGTCCAATATAGTGGGGTCTAGCGATGGCCTCTTGAGGGGGCAAACCAAGGCCTCTTTAAGAGGTGAGGGAACAACCCCTCACTCAAAGATGCATTAACCATCGCTAGAACCCACTCACACAATGTCCCCCGGGCTGCTTTCACAAGCCAGGAGGGGCATGGATCTAAAGAGCAGGTGGCTGAGCTCACAGCCCCAAGGACCTGTCCCCTTCCTCAGGTCCAACAGGTTCAAACTGTTCCCAGATAACAGGGCAAGACTCCTGGCCCAGGCACCTCCACGGACCTGCAGTAACGCCAGCGTCCAACTGAGAATGAATTATGGCAATGTTTCCAAACTAGTGCTGTCTTAATATGCACTAGTGTTGTGACATTTAGGATTTGTAGTCCAAGACATTTAGTATTTTAATATCCTAGTATCCTAATACCATTCCTAGTGCTATCATGGCTGAAAAAATGAATCCCTCATTTTTTTAAGGTCAGGGGGTGTTTTCTTGATCCTAGGTAAATGAAAAGATTCATTTCATTTACCTAGAAATGAATCTTAAAGTGTTTAGAAGATGGGATTGCCCCCAGTTAAAAAATAGGTTGGATTGCATCTTGAGACCATGACAGACACTTATATCATTTTTTCACCTTTAGATATTAGATACAACCTAACATTGGATGCAGATCTCTTATCTTCACGCGTTACCTCTAGAGGATTATTTAAAGAAAACAATGAGAGGTCTCTGCAGAAGAGCATCATAATCAACAATTGGAAGAAGTGTGTGAATCATATTTTTAATGTCCAGGTAAAAATTAGCCAAAAGTTCCATGTATCAGAATTAGTTCATTTTGGGGCCTGTCCACAGCTCAGCTTCCTGACCTGAACAGTGGGCTGCCGAAACCCTTCCTATGATGTGATGTCATTAAAAGATGCAGGTCTGACATTTTAGCCCATTTTTCACTCAGGTTTGGGTTTGGGCAGCAGCGTAAGGGTGGTTATGAGAGCACTTTGCCTCATGGAGGCCTTGCACTCCAGTCCCCCAAAGTGAGTGAAAGCAGTGCTGTCAAAAATGTTTTTGCCACTAATTGTGCTGCAATTTAGTTTTGCCACCAAATTGTAGCACAATAATCTTGGGGTGTTCTGAGGATCACAGGTGAGGTACTGAGAAGCATATGTGGCCCATTGGCCATAATTTTGTTCACCTGTGTTTTATATTATATATGTAAAAATGAGGCTAGGTTATTTCAAATGATAGCCACAGTAGTAAATGTTTGACCAAATTGTATTTCTGAAGAAGTGGAGTAAAATCTGCAAAGTTTGCAGAATGGAATCTTCTCACAATAGAAGGAATATGCAGGGAGAAAATTAAGTTGGAAGACATTTTCCTGCAGTCTGCCTAGATTTTTTTATACTCCAACTTTTTTTTGTACAGAGAAATATTTTATTATGGAAAATCCCCATAAGTAAAGATGTTTCTGAAACTTGGTCCCACAATGGCCATTTTTTTTTTTCTGGAAAAGGAGAAACTAACTTTCATACAATGTATTAGCATTACATGATATATGCTTAGTCATTTATAGAACCTTGTAATTAGTATTAATAATAAAAGCAGAGGTAAATGCAACAAGAGAAACAGTAACATCAATAATACACTCAGTTATCCATGAAATGGTCATCAAAGTAAATCTGCCTTCACCTGGTGTTTAAAATTAAAAGTGACCAGGAGCATTTGGGTTATGTTATCACTGGGATGTGACCACCAACAAATGAAGGGTCTCCATTTGCAACAGCCTCAGTTCTGAAGGCAATATTGCCTGTAGAAGGGCACAGTTCCAATTTCAACTAGACCAGGTTCATATGAGAGCAAATATTCCTTTGGGCCTCCCTTTTGCACTTAGTCACTGAGCTAACCCTCTAGGGTAGCAATTTCACCCAACTGGCTAGCTTGGCAGATTTCCTTTTCAAGGTATTGGATATCAGTTGAATAAGTGCAAGCGGAAAGGATTGTATCTTAAAAAAAAACAAAAAACTTTATTTGCAAACCTGTCCTATTGAAATGTTCAGAAGTGCCTTAACAAGCAATATTTTAATGTTACCAGCCATTAGTACATATATTTAAATAAGAAAGATTAAGTAAAGAGAAACAATTAAAGGCTTGTGTGCATATTTATGTTTATAGGCCCCTTCTGACGCTATCGATTCCCTTAACGTGCGCATTGATATTGGGCTCAAGAACCCCAACTCAAGCCCTGCTCTTGATAAAACATCTCCTACCTGTCTTGTTTACAGTGTAAGTAAATGAACATGCATTCCTTTTACCGTGTTTTTAATGAGTTGCTACAGAGACAGCAGGAATACCTCCATGGGAGAAAACTAGGTGTGATGGCAGCATTGCAGTATTATTGGATTGATGATGTTGTCTGCCTGGGTATCAGTTCCATAATTAGAACAAGCAAAAATAAAATGTGGGGGCCGTGGTGGTAGCAATGATGTTGATTATTTATTTGATTTCTATCCCACCTTTTGGAAAGATGGAAAGATTCCATGCATCGTTCAGTGCTGTAAAGTTTATAGCAAATGCTTGCCTCTGAAGAGGAGTGAAAATTACAGGCTTGAGATTCTTCTAGACCTATATTAAAATGCTGAGCCAAAAAATATTCACTGTTACCACTATCCCTACAACTAGCCTCTAAATCCTGGTAGGGGGCAAATAGTAACCAGTTACTGAAGACTCTTGGATGGAGAAGAATGGAGATTGCTATTTACACTCAGCAGTAATTGTATATTCCTTAATTTCCAGACCAAACTAAAGGTCCATGTAATGCAACATCTTTTTCCCACAATACCTAATTAGGGTTAGGGTTAGATATTCATGAAAAAATAGTAAGTGGGACCTAAAAGCATTATTCTATTTATATACCCCCAAAACAGGCATTGAAGTGCATATATACCATTTCCAATGCCAAAAGTAGCTGAAAAAACATTTAGTTATAAGCAGTAGCCCAAAATTAAGAGTCAGGTAGCAACTTTTCAGGGTAACAAATTCATTAAAAGGCATATGCTCTTAGAATTACTCGATAGTCTTATCTTCCCCAAATTTATATAATTCCTCATTAAAGCCATCCAAGTTACCACAGTTTTATGTATCACATGTACCACAGTATCATGGTACACTATATGAAATACTGTACTTTATCTATCCTCAATTTCTTACTATTAAGTTTCATTGAATAACCCTGGATCTTTACAAAAAGTATACAAAATATACAAAAAGAAGAAAATCCTCTCTCTTTAATTAATTGATGTCAGAACATCTTGCAGTGGTATATGTAGAGTTTAATAAAGATAATAGAGTGAAGACATTAAAATGCAACACATAATATTAGAAGGTATAGGAAGAGAAGAATATTCATAACATAACATTAATCCAGGAAAGAGTTGGGTGAAGAGAGAGGTTTTTAAGAGGCTCCTGGGACATGGGTGGCACATGTCTCCCTATAGTAAGTAAGGAGCATTTCAGAGCATTCTCTTGCATTGCTATGTGACAGTCTGCAAGTTGTGACCTAGTCTACAAAATTTATCTAGGTCTGAATCTGTTTCTCTGTGCCTGTATCATATTCCCTCTCCCTCATTTTATCAATACAAGAAAGGTCCAGATGTAACCTTTCCTCATAGGAAGTTGCTCCAGTTTCCTAATCTTCACGATTACCTTTTCTATACTTATATACCCTGTAAATAAAAGTAAGCAGATTTCTTTCCAATATTTATATAGCTCACAGAATTTTCCTATTCTTTGTGCAGAAGTTGAGTTTCAGAGATGCATTAATATTTGCTTAACACAGATTTATATAGATAAATACCCTTGTTCCAGACATAGAAACCCAAATCAGCAGTTTAAATGCTGTAATAAGAGATATGTAGATCCTTTACCACGAACAAAGAAGATGAAAAGCTTTGGGTTACTTTTATATTTTGTAGATACCATTTGTCAAAGAGTGTGGCGAAGATGAAGTTTGCAGGACAGATCTCATTCTTGAAGTTCAACAGAAAAATATTGGGTAAGAAACGCTTGTATTGCTACCACAAGTTCTGTTCATAATGGATAGTGACCTGTCTGTTTTGAAAATAAATGCAGTAGATATTTAGAAGGAGAAAATAAAGCTTTAAATTCCAGAATTCAGGACTGAACAAGTTTCCACTGATTCCATCGTTGTGAAAAAATAAATGGAATAATAATTATCACATGTGAATTCAGGAATGTTCGCACACATCACTCTTGAATACATATACTTTTGTGGGTGGGTGGTCAGGGAGGGAGGGAAGGAGATGATAGATAGATAGACAGACAGACATCACTGTTTTTTGTGAAGACATATGAGATAACTATAATTCATAGTGTTTCCTAGGTGAGAATGAAGTGTGTTTAAAGATTTGATTATCCCAAGATATGTTTCATTGCATGTTGGATTGTGTCTGGATACACTGTTGTTAGTTCACCTATTTCACTTGTAACAGATTGGATGTTAAAAATACACTCTGTCAGGATTCTTCATCTTTTGGGGTCAGTGGGCATCTTTGACATTTGTGGATGCTCAAAAAATTGGCTACATGGAGTACATCCGCTTTACAATATGGTAGCTTCTTTTTGAATTAAGTTGAAATTTAAAATAAGCTTTAAGAAGTAGAATAGGGTGGAGGGAATAGTGAGCAGCAGGGAAGTGTCTGCAGAAACAGCACCTATAGGGATCCCAGGACTACATTAACTGCATTTTCTTTTCTTTCTTTTTTTCCTCCAGGAACAACAAGCAGTATTTTCTTGTAACCAATAAAAACAAAAAACTGACATTTGGTGTGAAGTTGACAAACGTGGATGAAAACGCGTACAACACCAGAATTCAAGTGGCTTTTTCTGAAAACCTGCGTTATGCTTCATCTTCGGGGGTATCTTCATCTTCCATGTTATCTATAATCTCTATTCTTACTGCTGTCCTCAATGCTAATAACACCAATTATTTCATTAAAGAATAGTATCTTCTTTTAGATGTGTACTCATAGTTATAGTAAATCTCATACCACCTCTTCACCCTTGTGAAGATACTTTTCAGCCCCACTAGGTAGACCAGACCAAGAAATCAACTCCACAGGAAGGCTAAAACTACTTTTACTGAGATGGGCTATTATAGCAGAACCTTGCAAGTCTTAATTGTATTGTATCTCCTCCTCCTTGTTATCATTCAGTGAATTAGGGAGGTGTCCATCTGAGCTGCTTCTGAATGTTATCTGGACATTCTGAACTTAAAAAATGTTTTACCCCTTGTTGCCTTGACAACAGAGCTTGCATATTTCTGTCAAGGTTATCTTCCTTCCTCTACACTTTCTAAAAGAGGAAGACTGCTTAGTATGTCTACAGAGAAAAAAACCCAATCCTATCAAATGTAAGCTTTGGCATGTTTGTTCTGAAATAAACACTGTTGAGTTCAGCTAGATTTGTCCATAGCCTTGAGGGTTGTAATTCAGTACCAAGATAAAGTCAAAACTAAGTCTGCTAACCCTACATGGAACAGGAAAATAAACTGACTCATGTAGTTCTGGGAGATGGGTGTCCTCTATATATGAATACCTTAACTTCCTAGTTTATTCTTAGAACATTGTTGAATGCTAATAAAATGCTGCTTGCTGTATGACACAGTTATACATTTGAGAATTAACTCTGCTCAGGGAAGTGATTTTGTGCCCTTGTTCCTGTCAGCCAATTTCTCTCATTTTTTTCTCTAAAAACCTGTCCCATAGGCTTAGAGGTTTCTTCAAAACAGGCATGAACAATTGGCAAGAATCACTTTCCCTGTTCCTCTAATGAGGAATCTCTCTGGGTTCTCAGTTCTTCCACAGACGAAAGGAACCTTCTATTAGCAGAAGACCAAGTTCTTAATCTTATCTATTAACTGCATCCTTATCCCTTGAAATATCATATGGAAGCTTCATGACACACAAATCATGAATACTAATAAATATCTGCTTTTTATTGTTAGGTGGATGAAACTGAAGTTTTATGTCAGAATGAAGATGTCAGTCATCTTGTCTGTCAAATCAGCTATCCTGTTTTTAAAGCAGGGCAAGAGGTATCTAAGATATGCTACAGATTCAACATCAGAGTGAAATATTTTAAATATGCTTGGACAAAAAATGAACAGAAAGGAAAAGTATTATGTTGGGCAATGCAAAATATGTAAGCTAACCAAAAAAACTGAGTTCCCAAGAACTCTTCATCAAGCAAGGAAGGAAACTGGGGAATGGGGAATTGTGGCTTAAATTGTTTTTAAGCTGTATCTCCACCATGTCATAGTCTTAACTGGTGTGTTGAAGCAGCCTGCAGAGATGCAAATTGGGTGCATTGATCTCCTGGAAGACCAACATTCATTTGCAAAGAGATGGTCTTTCAGAAGATTGATATTCCCATGTCAAAATCATCGACCAAAAGGCCTAGGTCAGGTGCCTGGTCTCTTACAGCTCAAGTAAAAAAGGTCATAGTGAGCAGTGCCCAGCAACAGGACTGTGAGGGGTTGTTTCTGCAATAGACTTAAGCTGCAGGTAGGAACTGTGAAGACGCCTACCCTTAACCATATCATCGCCAGCCTTATCATACATTGTTCATACAGCTAAATTTGTTTGGAGGGAAGGAAAGCACCACTTTAACAGCAGAATGATTTCAGGTTGCCTTTTCAGTGGCCTAAGCATGAGACAGAGGCAACGTAATAAGGATATGTCTCTTAAAAATGGTTATCCAGGGTGCCTTTGTACTGCTGTAAGCAGAACATGACTTTGAATCCTTAGAGAACAGAGGTTGATCAAGGCATAATATTAATGTAGAATAGAGGTGTGTTGTATTTGCAGTTCAGTTCCAAATTGGTGCTTTGGAGTATCCAGAGTAGTTGTGTAATCCTGGGAAAAGATGCAGTTGCTTTAAGTTCCAGACGGGTGCTACATTCATACGTCTATGCATACCAAAGTATTTGTTTGGAATAAAATCTGAAGTGCTATAAAGCCCTTTTATGGAATATCTGACCTTATTCTTTAAAGCAGTTTTGGTGATTAGTGATAATGGCTTTCCTTATTTTAATGTTATCTTCCATCTTTGTTTTTTTCATAGATATCCTTTGACATTAATTTTGACTTCAGCTCGAAAAATTTTCAGAATGTGGCAGTATTACGTTTTCAAGCTTTGAGGTACCCTGCAAATTTCCTGTTACACTTGAAAACAATATTGGCAGCCAAACCCATACTTCCTCAGTTTGAAATGTCTGTTCTTCAAGATATCCGCTTTCACAAAGAAGTCAATTATCAAAAAATAGCAACTTCATAATAATATAAAATAACAAGATATTTAATTCTAAAGTTGTCAAAAAGCTAATTAGTTGCTGGACCATTTTTAAGAGCACATGGAGGTTTTGCTTATTCCAAAATGAACTTATTTTATTATAAGTTATTGCCTGAAGATACACAGTGGAACTTATCTGCCAGAGCTGGAGGAAAACAAAGCTGCTTATTTCCAGTTCCTATCCCTTCTATAGAGTTTAGGGTGAATAGTATAAATACCATCCAGATCAACACACTTTACAGCCCTCATATCTCGCAAGTCCAGATTAATTTTCAGTTTGTGACTCTCCTCTGTCCCTGAACTGTTCTTAGACAAATTTCTTTTGAGCCTCCTGATAGCATTTATAAATTTGGAGATTATAACTTTACAAATGTTTTCAAATACGTATATTTTATTTTTTTACTTAACAGTGCAAGTAATGAAGAAGATTATAGAAACAATCAGGTGAACCTAACACTTCCCCTTCGTTATGATGCAGAACTTCACTTAATGAGGTAACTCTAAATTAGCCTACATGTATTACAGTAATTCTATTAGTGTAATAGAGCCTAACCCTAACCCTAGAGGAATTCAGGGAGCATAACATTGTGGCTCACCCACCAAAGCAGAAATTGTGTACATAAAGATTGTCCTGCATGTGTAGAAGACACTGATGGTTTTTTAAGCATTCAGAGGATCCAGAAAAAAAAGGAATGGGGCACAGAGAAATACAAAAAAGTGGGATAAATATTTCAGATAAGCTGCTGGAACAGACAATATCTGTCAGTTGTTGACATTCTCACAGAAAGACAAGTCATTCCAAACATTCTTTGTGAATGTCCAGGACAATATTGACAACTATTGCTATAACACCATTGTTTTTTAAAGTAAACAAAAATAAACCTAGATTAAAACATTTCTCTTCCAGATGCATTTCCAAACTTAGAGTCCCTTAATATTGAAAGGAAAATTATATCCTAAATATCTGCTCCCCCAATACCTATATATAATTTATTTCTCCTCAGATCTACTAGTATGGACTTCTACGAAGTATATTCTAATCATAAGGTTTACTCCACTGTGAATAATTTTGATGAAATTGGACCTGCATTTAACTTTTCAGTTAAGGTCAGTAAACATTTTCAGTATCTTTTAAATATATAAAGGGCATTCGTCTGTTCACAAATAATGCTAAACTAAAACACGGCTTGCTTTTGGCTTAGTGTGATGATCAAACCTATCTCTTATTATACTAAATCAGTTACCACCAGGAGATCCTGTTCTCAAATCTTCTCTGCTTCTAGATGGGGTCACCCAGAATCTAAACGATCCAAAGTATATATCCATTTCATAGCTGTAAAAGTGCCTGTCTGTTTTCCTTTCTAGCATTAATTAAGAGAAAATAATTTTTGCAAAGTAGGCCATTAGCTATTGGAATTATGCCCAGTATTAATCCCTCTCTTGTTTTCCAGGTCACAAGAGGAAGTAATCCAATCAATATGGCAACTTTAAAAATCCATATTCCTAAGCAGACTAAAGGGAATAATCCTTTGATGTATGTGACTGCAGTGCACACCAGTCAGGTGAAACAATGGTCTATTTTAAGTACAAGACAATAATGAAGATGATTCAAAGCTAACAAATACAGAAACGTCAGTGATAATGATGAGACAGTTTAAGCCTTTCAACAGCTGGTATATACCTGATTAACGTAACGTTATACATACTTACCTGGGAATAAGTACTTGCACTCAGTAGGGCATAAGATACATAAGATTGCACTGTGTGAGACTTCTTATAATGGATTGTTCTTCCTCTTCTGCTTCTGTGAAAATCTACAGATGTTCTTGGATCAATATTGCTATAAATGACAAAATTAGTTTTTGAACACTATGGTGGGCAATCTCTACTCTTTCAAATAAATTTGGGAATAAATTAACTAACTGATCATTTATCTTCAAATCTCAGATTCTTGGTTTGGTGTTTAACTAGATCATGTTGACTTTATGTATAAAATTGCATTGATTTTGCACTTGTACACTTGCTGTAACCTGAAATTAAATGCAAAATTCTACTTGTAGAGCCAAAGACATTTAAAAAGGGAAACAAGGAAATAAAGATACAGATTTAGCTCTTGATTTTTTAAGAACAATAATCAGAATTGTAGGAAATTTTGGTTATAGTAAACCCTGTTTCTTGAAACTATAGAAATCTTCTCTGCTGTGGATTGCTTCTTCTTCTCCTCTTTCTCCAGAATACCAAAATGCAATATATCCCCAGTGTTTTTCTAACTCATTCTATATTTATTACATATACTAAGGCTATTCCATTGAGTAATAGCAGTGGATATTAGATTATCAACAGCACATAATTTCATGTGCTCCTTTATATTGTTGCATTCTCTTTATAGGACAGTGATATCAGCTGTCATGGACTCATCAATCCACATGAAATTGGATCGCAAAGCTATGCTGCATCATTTTCGAAAGAAAACTTCAAAGATTTGAAAGAATTGGTGAGTTAAATGCATAACTGCAATATCCAAGACCTACGTTCTTATGTAATTGCTCTGGAGCAGTGATGGGTAACCACAGCCTACAAAGTAAATGTGTCCCTCTTTTTATGGTTCCCAGTTCCTCCTTCCCTGTTGAACAGGCTGTGATGGGGCTTGCTACAATCCACTTTTCCAGTGCCCACCCTAGCAGGAAGGTAGATTACCTGAATTTCAGGGTCTTGGGATTTAAGCCACAAAATGAGACAAAGTTGTTGGTGGGAATCTAAATGGAGCTGCACACTTAAGAAAAAAGAATACCTGAAATGGAAGTTGAGGTTGGGTGGGGAGATGGAAAATGTGAAATATATGAATTGCTATGCTATTATATTTTAAAATAATAAACAATTAACAAATCAATAATGTTATATTTTCATGTTTTCTTGTCTGACAGAACTGTAAGAACATCAGATGTGATACGATCACATGCACTTTAAAAGATATATCCCTGAAACCTGAAAATTATGTTAATATTTCTACTAGAATCTGGAATGGAACATTTGCTGCTGTAAGTAATGCATGGGTTTTAATCAATTACCAGCCTTTGGGTATTTAAGAAGTTGGAAAAAAAACACTCTTTTACTTTACAAATATAATAAAGGTGTGTTATAAGCAATTATAATGGAGGTTTAATTAGGGGAATACTTTGTTATTGACTTTTCAAAATCTATGCTAAATCTAAACAAAGAACTAATCTAAATCTAAAGCAAAATGAAAGATTTTAGAATCCAACTTTATAAGGAAAATGTAGAGTGCAGCTTCACTGTATTTTTTCTGTATTCCTAAGTAAGCATGTGACCTGCCATCCAAACTGAAACTACAAAAAAATTAACTTTTCCCCCTACTTCTTTTCCACTATTTGTTGAGCTCCTTCCCTCTATAGTTTTTTTTTATAAAGAGAAGAAAAACCTTGTTTGTACCAAATTCTTCTTAAAAAAATTAAAATCTCTATGTGAGGGTGAGTTCAGAGTTGAGTAGATAAGAGAATTTGAACTTCCCTTGCTTATCTGTGGCAGTTGCAATCCGGTTGAAGACCATATTAGCTTACTTGTAAATAAAAGGATAAACACAGCTGTGTGCTACATTTTTATTTGGCTTGTGCAAATCCTTCCAAAGAAGTACTTCAGAGCACATGGGAGTACCTATGGAGCACTTCTTTTTGACTTATTAAAGCAGCCACGTCTTTTTCTGGCACATGGGGGCTACTTCAGAATCATCTCCCAGCCATCTTTATGTGGGTGTGCATGCACAGCCACTTCCCTTAAAGAAAACTGGCTCTGCACATGCACATATTCAAAAATAGCTGGGGCAGTTTCTGAAGCAGCTGCATCAGCCTGGCAAAAGACACAGCTGCTTTAATTGTTCCAAAGATGTACTCCAGTGCAGTCCCAAACAATCCAAAGGAATTTCTTTCAAAAGTTTTGCACAGTCCTAATACTGAAGAAGGATGGCCCTTAGTTATACATGAAGCAGGGTGAGATACAAGAATGTAACCTTGGTTTCCTGGGCTTTGTCACAGACTAAAGGTGAGGCCTATCACTTTTGAAGAGAACTCTGCCCTAACAGGCACACTAGGGATACAGACTTAACAAATCAGAGATAAGGATTCTAGCCCATTCCTTAAGTAGATATTTATTTAAATGTAATAAAATATTGCCACCCATTTCAAGCTGGCCAGATCACAATGAAACAGTGGTCCTGCAGGCTCGATCATTATCCATTTGCTGAAATTCTTTCTTCTACAGTTTTTAAAAGTTTTTAATCCTCATTATGTAAGGCCAGCCTAAACCCACTCCATTTCCTTTTCTACTATATATGTAGACAAGGCTAACAAAAATGTTTAAAAAGTTTTTCCAAAAACTTATTAGGACACAATCTTTGGGTTGGTGGTTTGCAAAACAAGAAGGATGGGACTTTAAATGCAACTGTATGCATATCTGTTGAGATAGCAGACCTATTAAGTTAATGGGATTGCAGTTTTAAATCCACAAAGAGTTTGATGAAGATCATAAAATGAGCTTCCTATTAATTCAGTCCTTGCATGTTTATTTAGCAGGAACTTAACTGGGAAAATCCTTAAGATTTCAGCCTAAGATGAAGAAATAAGGCCAACAATCTTTCATTAAAATATGAAAGATAGTTGTGAGCAAGAAGTTGTCCCTCTTTTATCTAAATGACAATTTTAAATGGACTTGAAACCTTAAATAATTTATATATTTGATGAAATATTTTTTTTTTGAATGTTAGATGTACAGTATGCTGTATGTTTCTGTTGCAGTCAACCTTCCAGAAAATAGAATTATCTGCAAGCACAGAAATTGATGCTGACGATTCCGAGCTGTTTATAACAGGAGAAAGTATTTTATCAGTGAGTGTGACTTTATGTTTCCAGGGTTAGTCTGGAAACTTATTTCATTATGAAGTGTTAATGCTAAAAGGTTGGAGCAAAGAATTGTCCGGTTAGAGAATTGAATCGCAGGCTACGCTTATATGAAACTGAAATTGAGGATTGCAGTAGATTGTCTTTTATTTGTTGAGAATCTGGTGATAGACAGAGGTGCTGATGAACACAAGCGAGTGAAAGGTCCTGTTGAAAGTAAGTGAAGAAGTGGGAGGTAAGAGTATCTGCCAGGGCAAAGAAGCTTTCCCTATAAGGACTATGGGACCATGCTAATCCTGCCATCCTGTTTGCAATGGGGAATGTCCTCAATCCATGAAAGCAAGTAGATTTTCACTTGAAGGGGAATGAGAGACCCACTAAACCACTTACTGGCAGTAAAAGCCAGTAAATGCAATGAGACTCATTACAGAGTAACCAAGCACAGTTTTCTTTAAGTCTGCAGCTCACCCAAATGGCACCTGTAATTGTTTTCTTGTTGTGAAAAAGAAAGCAATTTCTCAGTGCACCAGATTCCATCCCAGATTACACTGAGTAAATTGGGGCAAACAGATATCTGCCCAGCAGAGCAATACCTGAGAGCCATACTGGAATCACTAAAGCTTATCACAGAGGAACCTTGCATAAGTTTATGCATGCTCATTTCTGCAAACAGTTTCTCCTTCTCTGTGTGCCTGTGTCTGAGAAAGAATGGTTGCTGGGTTTATAGGCAGATCGGTACACCCCACTTTGGATTAGTGGACCCTCTCCCCCAGCCCAGCCTACCTCACACAGTGGTGTGGAAAGCTGGGATGTAAGTTGTAATAATAATAATAATAATAATAATAATAATAATAATAGGGTCTAAATAACTTTACAAATGGAATGCATTATTTTACAGGCGATTAATTTAAATACTGTTTAATTATTAATCATTCATTCAAATTTGTGTACATATGTGTTATGTGCTTGTCCATCTGTCTGTGTAGTTTAGTTACCATATCTGATCTGCAAAAATCCAGACAAATAATGGAAAACTCTAACTCTCATGGTTGTATGGATTTTGGATATGTATGGACCTTGTAAACATCTGTCCTTAGAGTATGCCCTACCTTTTTATGTAACTGCGCATATTTGTGGAGGAGAGAAAATTCTTGGTGGGATTCCAGTGGGAGCTGGGAGCCATACTTGACAAAGAAATGAGGTTAGGCAATGTACAGGGTTCTTGTATGTGTTGTTTATAACCTTTTTTTGTCTAATCTTCCTTTTGGATGAGTCAACTTCCTTTGGAGAATTATATTTAAAATGGTAGGACATGATTTGACAGAAAAAAATAATCTCCCTTTCCTAAAATTATTATTAATATGCTTAAATTATTTTGAGAGTTTTAAAGTTAGTCAAGATTTAAGCAATGTTATCTACCAAATGTTAGCATGAATTTTAATGAGGCCAAATTTGGCTAGCAAATTGTTTAAAGGTTGCTGAAACTGTTGCAAATTTCTGCTAAATGTTAGTCATCCCCCCCCCTCCCCAAAACAGCTCCCAGACTAATCAAATTGAAACTTACAAAATTTAGGAAAGGAAGAAACCCATCTCTTTTCAATAAACTAGCTAGCAATTAAAAAGGCAGAGCTATAACAAGAAACTGAAGATGTGAGTCATTTGTTTCCATCAAGGTCTATTTCAGAAGTACTTCCTTCTGTAGTAGATGTTTCCTCACTTTGTTAGTTGCAGGAGAACGTCCACTTTGTAGAGTGTCCAGACATGTAATACTTTGTAAGTAACGAGATCAGGCTAAGCAAGTTAATACTTGGATAAGAGTAATAGAAAGCTAAAGCTGTTACTAACCTGGGCAATTAAAAACAATAGTGGCACACTATTTCAGTCCTCTTAACAAGTTAATTACAGGTAATCCTCAGTTAACAATCATAATAGGGACCGGGAACTCTGTCGCTAAGCAAAAAATCACGTGACAGCACCGACTTATGACAGCAGCTCCAGTTGCGGTTGCTAAACAAATCATGTTGTTACTTGTCTCTTTGCTGACGAGTAAAATTCACTTTATTCAATTAAATTTACTCCTGTATCTCGTTTGGAACTAGAGTCTAAATCTTTCAATGAAATATGTAAACTGGTGCCCTCCTGTGGAGAATAGTGAAGTAGCCAGAAATCATATAAAATGTCCAACATGCTAGGTTTATGCTACAGTATACTTCTTTCATATTTCTCTATTATGATGATTATTTTATTATTAATTGTTGCAGATAATGGGCAGGAAGTCCTCTTCCACATTGCACTGGAATGGATCCGGTGGGAAATAGCTAGATTAACTGGTATAACAATACAGATTTCCTGATGGCAGATGTTCACAGTAAACCTGGTGGGAAGCAACTGATTTGTTTTGCTTTGGACTTGCCACTGTAGCTATTTTAAAGGTCTCCCCCACAGGGAACCTATGAAAGACCTTCTTTGGGACTCTTCTATAAGGGATAGTCTTTTGTCTCTGACCTCCAGTTTTCTTAAGGTTTCATACCCGCATTTGAGATCAACTTGTTTTTGGGTGGAGGATTCCTTTCAAGAGGTGTCCTAATAAAATACAGGATTAAAAATCCCACCAGTACATGAAGCTGTTGCCCCAAGGATTCCTATCATCAGTCGGCTTTTGCGCTCAGACCCAGTTTCTCTGGGGGCAGCTATCCAAAGCAATCTTTATATTAAGAGCAGACATCATTCTGATTTGCTTAATTGGGGTGCATCTGGCGCCTACTGATAGTTCTTCCATCTACAAATTCCTTTCAAAACCCAAGGAGGAAAAAATTAATCCTTAAATATCCTGGCCACACTCACTTTAATGTTAAGGTGTTAAGGGCTATAGTTAGATTTATCAATTTGATGGAAGTATATTGATATAGATAGCAGCACTGCTGGTGAAACAGATATCCATCTGACTAGGAAAAAATGCTTTCAGCCCTGCTTCCCCAGCTGACAAACTCTGCGATCAGTTTTCAACTTTGTGTTCCAGGCACAACAGCAGCAATGTTAAAGAAAAAGCAAATACGTGGCCTAAATAACCTGGTTTATGATCCACTTTCTGAAAAGGAAGGCTATGTTTATACCCAGGCTCCTGGGTGACCTTGTTGCAGCTCTTGTATGTATACCTCATGACCCTGCTTTGTCGTCAGTTTCTACTTTCAGCTTAATTTCTGTTAAGTTCCTCTAGACCTCTGTTCCCTTGTGGTGAATTGTTCCTTGTTCTCTACCATTTGCTCTCTTGTTGAAGGTTGTGAAAATATCTCCTGCAATAAAATTGTGAATATCCGTATAATTTAAAGGTGCTATGTTGGTTGTAGATACACCTATGTATTTCATTGTCTTCTATGAAGGGTTAAGGTTAGGGTTAACAAACAAACTCACTGAAATCCTCCCAATGTGAGTGGGATTTAGGCAAAGGCAGATCATGTAAACATTCCTAGTTAGTGCACTGCTTAGACTCAGATTTGGGGATCAATATATGCCTGTCCTTATTTGTGGAAAAAGAGGTTGAACAGAATTCTGCAGGATTCCCTCTGTTTCAGTTCAGTTTTCCAGAGAGTTATTCCTCCCAAAAGATAAAACATCTGAACTAAGCATGGTATGTATGGTGAGCATCAGGATTTGTGCTTTTCTCCTATTCTTCTTCTTCTCCAAATCCTAACTTTCCATAAAATGAAGTTGATTATAAATCCAGATGTTCCCACTGCCTTCCAAAGATCCTGAGTTTTCAAGCATCTATGGAAACTCAAAATAAACTTTGAAAATCTGAAAAAAAAAATCTTTTGCTCAATTGTACAAAGCATCTCTTTTCAAACAGTTACAACAGCTGCATCTTTTTCCAGGCTCTCACAATTGCTGCAGAAGCTTCTCTTGGCTGTTTTAACATGTGGGTGAATGCACAGGGACTTCACTTCATTAAAAACATGTATTTAGAAATAGAAACAAATGTGGCATTCATCTCAATAGCTCTGGGCTACTTACATGAATGGTAAAATTTTAATTTCTGCAAATAGGATGTTTCGTATTCATTTTATCTTAGGTACTGATGTTGCAAATGTGCAATTTCTTAAAAAAAAGAAAAGAAAGAGAATGAGTTGTTAAAATATTTCAGAAAATGAACACTGCATGTGCAAAATTTATTACCATTCTGAAATTCCTGTTTCTGGAATGAAAATATATCTCAGTATTGGAACAAGAAAGGAGAGGATTGCTCATTTCTCTGCAGTTTAATGTGACCACAGTGATTACCTTTCTGCTATTAGCTAATATCTAAAGAATGAATGCAGAATGAATTTTATCATTTTTTTATGAAAATGTCCACTTTTGCTCTTTGAAATAACTACATTTATTTCTTTTTAGATTCCTATTACAATAATCAAACCTGATGAGAAAGCAGGAATACCGGTTGGAATTGTAATAGCAAGTGTCCTGATAGGTCTGCTCTTGCTCGTAGTTCTTACTGCTGTTTTATGGAAAGTAAGTAAAAGCTTAGACGTTTAAAAGTTGATTAAATGATAGATTTCTTCCTGTATAGCTAAACAGTATTACTTGAAACATGACTGGGCAACCTGAGTCCTCCAGGGCTATGTGTGCTTGTTCAGTCCCTAGTGTTCTCATATACTATAATTGTCAAAATTGGTAGCACTTTTGCATGTAAGTGCAATAACTTAAGAAAATTAAGAAAATAAGAGAATTCCCCTTCCAAATGCCCCCTTTAAGGGGAAAAAAAACCCTAAAGGGAGGTTCTACCATGAGAACCACACACACACACACACACACACACAACACACACACACAAACTTTCTATCACTGGCCCATCTATGTGGCCTCTCACACTGACAAATATTACCCATAGTCATGAAGGTTGTCCAACTTCAGTATACACCTTGTAAAATTTTGAATAACATGTCCCACTGAAACAAGTATATTTTGAGCTTTCAAAAATACCTATAAGTGGGTAGAATGAAAAATGTCCGTGTTTGACTTTGAGATACAAATCTCTTAAGCAATTATGTCATATATTGAACTACCCAATTAATAATGGAGCCACGTTCTTCCATGGGTTGTACAATCATTGCCACAAGGCATATCATTCCCAGGGGGAATTCAGAACTCTTTTTTCTCCCAAACCTTTGAAGATCTGCTGATTTCCATCTGTTAAATGCACATAGAGTACTAATGCTCAGTTTCACATGTATCTGAGTTTAGGATCATGTGCATGCATCCTGTTTCTTTGATGTAGCCCATCCAGTGGAGCACCTGCTTCTTTTCAATTAATGTAATTGAAATTATACGCAGTCCTAGAACTCTGATCAGTCTTCATACTAATTTAGGGAAAGAACATAAGATCAGCAAACATGGTGGATGTTTGCCTGCTTGTACACTGTGAGACCCTAGACTTTTAACAGATCCTAATATGTAGCCCTCAGGGTCAAAAGCATTGGCCATCCACAGTTAAGGTTAACCACAGTTTGTCTAGTTTGGATTTAAGAACAACCTGTTGTTAAAAATCAAAGTTGAAGGACAAGAGAAACAGTATAGATCATATCCCTGATGCTACATTCTAGCATTAAATAATACCAAATATAAATCTTCTCAACAATTTCTTGCAGCTTGGCTTCTTCAAGAGAGAATACAAGAAAATGGGAACAGATTTGGAAGACATGGATGAGATTACAGGACTTACTAAAGACAGAGAATAAATATAGCAGAAATATTCCTGGGTGTATGAATCATGAGCCACAAGCAGTGCTTGCAATCACCAAGTTTAATTTCTACGAGTGTCTTATTAAAAGGTTTTACACTTTTTATAATTGAAAATATTGTACATATAACTGCTGGTCGGTTTGGGCTTTTGTTTACAGTTGTATAAAGATTTTGTTTTTGTATATTTTTGTATTGTTATTAATGGACCTTCTGAATTGGCAGGACCAGAAATAATACTGAAATCTGCCAGGAATACTGTTTTATACCCTTGATAAGCATACATGTGGAACAGATTACCTTTATTCACCATTAACAGGACCTGTTAATTTTCATCCTGCAGTAAAAATCACTCCTTGAGTTATTCAAAAATTTACACATACTGAGCAATGCCAGCATCATCTCAGTCAGTGCCTGGATTCAGATATTAAACCATAAGTTGGTTTGTTGACTTGCTTGTGAATATATGTGACGTGTGAATCTGACCATTATCGCTTAGCACAGTATTGCTCAACCGTATGCAATTATTTGTAGCTCATTGTGGCACCAAAGAAAGGATAGCACTTATTAATTAATGCATCATCTAAAAAAGCTGGAGTGTATGAAATAATCTTGCAAATATTACTAACTGTGTTAGAGCCATATTGCATTATGTGGAAGCAAGTTTTATGATGACTCAACCAAGTACTGGTTGCATACCCAAGCTGTAACAGTAAACTCTACATTCAACTGGATATACTAGTACAGACCAGTCTGGTCATGATTGAAGGTTGGTGTCAGCCCCACTAGGTAGGCCAGTCCAGGAAATCAACTCCAAAAAAAGGCTAAAGCTACTTTTACTGAGATTGGCTATCATAACAGAATCTTGCAAGCCTGATTGTGCCGTGCCTCCTCCTCCTCCTTATAGTTCTGTGAATCAAGGAGGCATCTGAGATGCTTGTGAATGTCATCTGGCTGTTCGGAACTTTAAAAATGCTTCAGCCTCTTTTGCTTAGGCAACAATTCCTGCATATCTCTATCAAGGTCCTCTTCCTTATTCTCTACACCAGGTCCAACAGCTGCCTCTGGCCAAAATAGCAAGTTGGCTATTTTTTCCTCCTTTAATCAGAAAAACAAGAAAGCTCTGACGTTCCTTGATGTGGAGATTATCCTTTTGATAAACTGGAATGGCCTTTTGTTTTTATGACTTTGAAGAAGATAAACTGCAGTTCAAATTTTCTCATCTGGATACAGAACATAGATAAAGAACAAACTATGATCACGGTAAATGGACTTCTACCAGAAAAATTTTTTCTGGTAGAAAATAAAATATTTTATTTTAGTGAAGGGGAGAAGACACGGTTGTCTCCTCTTCTCTTTCTTCTTTTTATTGGCATTGGAAACACTACCAAGGAAGATACAGCAAGAAAATAAAATTTCAGGAATGATGATGTACTTCTACTGAGGAAGCAGGACTCTTAAGAAATATCTGGCAAATCAAGAATAAACTTAAATTGTCTGCTGGCAATGTAGTTACAGTTATACATCCAAGAGACTTCTCTAGAATATCTAATGGAACATATACAGCAGTTTGGTTATCTGAGGAAGAGAAGCAATACCTGGGTTAAATACCTGTGAATTTATGTAATAAAGAACGATGAAGACCTATTTAATCACAATTACAGATTTGGAAAAGTACAATGGCACAAAGTTTAAGATGGAAAAAGTTAAACTTGTCCTGATTAGGAAGACTATCAGCCATACAAGTGAGTATTTTACTGAGGATCAACTTTTAATTTCAAAATGATTCCAGTAAGAATTGAAGAGAAGATATTTAAAGGGTGGGAGAGACAACTAAAGATATCAAGGATTAAACTTAAGATTTTCCAAGATGTGAAAGAAGGGAGAAGCAGTACCAAAAGTTAAAGTATATTATCAAGCCAGCTATTTAATTTAGATTTCAAACTGGATCACATTATCTTTCATCTGGGTTACTTCTACTGAGGGAGCAGCACTCTCAGAAGTTCTGCATAATTATCTTTGGTTGGATACAGACAGAAATGTACAATCTATAAAAGATTATTATAAACAACCCACTAGAAGTGTGGGAAAAACACAGAAAAAGTATAAGCCCAGACTGATCACTCCTTGGTTCAATACTGAATATTTTAAAAATACTGTCGTCTTGTCTTGCTGATCTTTGCATTAAGAATAGATCTTCTAAAATCATGTAGAAACATTTATGAATCATTCATTCTGACTGATTTTTATACTGGTTGCCTACGTTAATTACTGAATACTGATTTTATTTTAATGATTTTAAGTGCTGTATTGATATAAGGTCTTCCATATGCAATACTAATCAAATGTCACTTTGAATTTTTTAATTCCTTTTTATACAGCATGTAAATCTTTTATGCCTTTTCAACTCTTTTTCTAGGTGGTGCTTTCAAATAGCGGTTGAAATAGGTAAATAAATAATAAAAGGAAACTCTCAGAAAACACAGGATTCCTGCCCAAAAAGCCGTGATAAAATGCCCAGTAAAAGTGTTAACTAGTTTCCCAGCAACAAGACAAACTCAACAAAGATCTAACAAAAAAGTAAAAAGAGTACCACCTAAAATGGCAGAGGGTTTTAAGGAACAGTCAGGCTTCCCCTGAAGCAGTAAACTTTATAATCTGGACACCAGCTTCCAATCTTCACGTCCATCCCAGCCAAAATGCACAGCATTTTATTTCTGCATCACAAAACTATTAGATTTAGTGACATTTATGAGCCAAATGACATTGAGAGCAGAATAGCTGGTCTTATGTAAAATTCTTGGTGTAAAACAGTATTTGTATATCTTTAGGACTAAGGTACTAATTTCTGAACATTCTATCGTCCAGTGATCATGTTATAATCCAGATTATGGTACAAGTAGTCCTCATTTAGCAACCGCAATTGATACTGGCAACTTGGTTAAGTGAAGCAGTTGCTGAGTAAAAAATCAGGTGACCATGATTGTGCTTACAGTTTTACACAGGACAATGCATACTAACTGACTGTAATGGCAAACGCATGATTGAGAGAGATGCCGCAATGGTCATAAATGTGAGGATTGGTTGCAAAGTTACTTTTCATCACTGTCGCAACTGCGAACAGTTGCTGTCTGAAGCAGTCGATAAGCAAGGACTACTTGTAGTTTTCTAGATCTTTCAGAATTTCAGAATTTAAAAAAATCAGATTTGTTTTAGAAATCAGTATTTTAAACAATTCGGTATGCATAATGAATTCCTTTCACCAATTGTTCTTTCATTACACTTTTCAGCTGGCAAGTCTGATAAAAATATGCAGTTTTCTAAGGTTCACAAAGTTCTTTTAAAATGTGTTTTTATAATACAAGATTCCAAAGAGCATTACTTTAATGGAATTTGAAGCGTATTAAGCTGCCAGAACAGTACAGTGGATTTTTTATTAGATGTTGCAGAAGCAAGAGACAAATATTCTGAGGACAGGAACAAGTTGTATGTTTAATTTCCTCCTGCATATCTTCACCGTCATGCTAATTTTTTCACCCTTGTTTACATTGTTATTTATCCATTAGGTTTATTCTTGACCATCATTACATGTATTTTAAATCTTCAAACCCAACATTTAGAACCCAGAATTCTTCCATTGTATTATCCTTTAAGAGGAACATTTTAATTTTGGAATTGGGATGTTCTGATGGGCAGTTAGGTTATTCTACCTAGCTGCAGCCATTTGTACCACTGTTTCTGCATTCTTGACTAAAATCACAAGCATATCTGTTCCTATCACTTACTTACACAGTACTGTAAACCCTGTTGACTACAGTAAGGCATAACTTCTGAATAAATATTGATGTATGACCCAAGTCTGTAACACTGGAAGATACATACTCTTACCTATCATAAATTGCCTCTGTTGAATATATCTAATAAATTATTACTATTTTTACTTTTGTTTAACACTGGCTGAAATACCAGCTCTTGTTAATTTTCATGGTGTGTTTGTGTATGTGGGGGGGGAGGGGATCAGTCAAGTTCCTCTGCAGCCTAAGGTAAGTAACCTTAAGGTTGATTCAGCACAAATACCCTCTGCATTTGAATACATCCCAACAGCACTGATGCAGACGTTCCTGATGAATGTAATTACCATTCTGCTTGAGTCAGTGTTTTCACTGCCATTAGATGGGATGTAGAAAGTTCTGCTTTTCCGTAATATGAATGCAGATGTATTTTGTCTCCTAGGATCAGGGTTCATAGAACATAGTTGGCAAAAGGGTAGTCAGATTGTGTGAACCTAACTGCTATGCTTAAAGTTCAGGCACTTTGGTTCAATAATAGTTTGTGCTCATTTATAATACTGGAAAACGTATGTTTATTATGACCTTGTGCTTTTTTGCATTTTTTATTTTGGTTAAAAAACGAGTTAATAATGGTGTTGTACAGACAAAGTCTTTATGTATATTTTGCACTTCGTTCCAAAACAAATGAATATGCTAAAGTTGTTGTTCTAAAGAAAGATGGATCTGGTTGAATAAATTTTGAAACTATTCCAGTGTAGACTTTCATTGCTGAATTATATTTTCCACAAACCTATCTAATACAGAGAGAAGAATATTTTTAGGTCATCTTCCTATTTGTACTTTGTTTCCTCCTTGTTTTACTGGACATGCATTTTAGGCGATGCAGTAAGGACAGGGAACTTCAGGGCATCTATTACATATTTTTTCCCAAATTGTTTGGTTCAAAAATTTGGAAAATACATTGGTTTACATGGAAATAAGCACCATTTGCAAAAATACCCAGTTCTAGTCCTGTCCTGAGCCACTGGGTGACCTTGGGCCAGTCACTCTCTCTCAGCCCTAGGAAGGAGGCAATGGCAAACCACTTCCAAAATCATGCCAAGAAAACTGCAGGGTCCAGTTCAGGAGTCACCAGGAGTCAACCCTGACTCGAAGGCACTAAAACAACAAAGTTTACTGCAACATGCATTGCCCATTCTCTTGCTTAGCTCTGGTTCTTGAGGGGCACACTGATGTAAACTTTGAACTGCTTCCGATAAAACTTTGCATACCTAAAATACTTTTACTTTCTTGCCACGTTTTTAATAGAATTAGTGAGAACTCTGTGGTCCTCACCCTAATTTTATGATTGGGGAAGTCACCTAATTTTATGATGGGGAGGCAAAAGTCAGTGAGAATTTTTTTGTATTACTGTGGCTTTCACAATGCTTCAGCTCCACCAGAATTTATAACATACTCAGAATTTCAAAAGGTGATTTGATCTGAAAGGACAATGGTTTTAGGATACAAAGGGGCCTGTATAAAGCAATAATTTTCCTAAATAAATAAGATGATTTCCTTTTTTCTTTCATTCCCTTTCAGAAGTTGGAGAACCATAATTCGTACAAGTCCAATTTTGGAGTAACTTATACAAGTCCAATTCTACTTTTGAAATGTTCTGACTTTAAGGACTTAGGCTCATTACCACCAAGAAAAAACATCCAAATATTGTGTATTGTAAACAGTTGGCCATGTTGCAAATGCTTCCTGCCTTTGTAAAAACAATCAACCAAAATTTGACTGAAATTTATTTTCCATTTTGTTTTAATACACTTGAAGCAGCCTTTCTTAAATCTTTTGGCAGATCAATGTTTTATTTTTCTCCCTTGAACCAAAAGCACTCCTTATTTTCTTTCCAAGAAGATTCCTCTTCATAGATCTCCTATAAGCAAAAAATATCATGGATAAGAATTGGTGTTACAAAGCTAACCCTTTTATCCACTACCCTGAATGCAGCAGCTACATTTTTTTTCTAGGTTACTGTCAGGGCCGGATTCCATTAAAATATAAAAACAACTCTGATACAATTCAGAGATAAGCAGAGTCACCACAGATATTTTTCACAAAAGCCCTGAAGTTAAGATGCTAGACGCACATATGGTCTCCATGCATAAGCCTCCTTTTGCCCAAACAGCTTGAGGTCCAGTCTGATGAGATAGGAAAAAGTTTGCATCTGTGTCCCATGCAGACTTTCTTTCCTGGGGCCCAAAGCAATATGTTTGTTTTTTTGAAGTTTAGCAATTCTCTGGATCAAATCTATGCAATATATGTATCTGTACTTAAAAAAAAAAAAGACAAACATCAATCCAGGGAGTTCTCTCCAAATGATTAGTAGAAAGTATGCACATTGTAGAGCAATACTTCCTCTAATTCAAAGCATTCTCTCAGCTCCATTGACTGACAGGGAAGTTTGCACCGACTGTCCTCTTAAAGGGATGAAGGTTATTTAGACCAGTGTTTCTCAACCTCAGCAGTTATAAAATGTGTGGACATCAACTCCCAGAAATCCCCAGTCAGAATTCTGGGAGTTGAAGTCCACAAGTTGATACGGTTGAGAAACACTGATTTAGACCAGCTACTGTCTTAAGTTGCCCAAAAGACCAAAGAGAGAGGGCTGTTTTAAATCTCCTGTCCATTTTGCATGTCCACTTAGGAAACTGGGATTTCATAATCTCAGAAAACAGCAGAGGCAGAAGAATCTGCTTCGGGATGGAAGGAGAAGTGGAAGCCCGTCTTCAACTCTGCAGGGGGAAGCCAAGCCATAGCATAGCTTCTGAGATGCTGTCCTGTAGACCATGTGATTTTCAGCACTGTACTTTTTCCAGAGCAAAAGTCCTGAAACACACGTACCTTTTTCCATATAGGGACAGTGGCTTTTAAAGTATTGATGCAATATTGCAAGGCCTTGAGAGAGTCTGCTCGGTGGGGGGAAGAGATTGCAACAATCACACTGGCTTCACTAATGGGAACCAAACTAAAGAGAAAGTGAAAAGTAACATTAGCTATGGCTTTTAGCCACATTAGCTTAATCTTTCAAGGACAAAATAAAGGCCTTGTTGTCAACTACTACACAGACATACACAAACAAGATGGGCCATGTTCTCGGAAGTTCAAATTAGAGAAGCTACGGGTCTTGTTATGTTTTCCAAGGTAAGATTCGACGGGAAAACAAATTAAGAAAAACTAGAGAAGAGATCATCTGCAACAACAGCCTGATAGAATCGTTTAGATCAGACAGAGAAAAGTGGAGCCTCCTTTTCTACTAGGCAGTGGTGCACAAGCCAGAACCCCAAGTAACTTTTTAGGGATAGTCTGGAGCCCCTGTCTGCACAAGTCAGTCATTATTCTATCCCCTTTGTATGACTATACTATACAAACTAGGGAAAAATGAAAAATAAAACACTGACAAGAAAAGGAACTAAAACAGCAATACACACACACACACACACACACGGACATTATAAGAACCAAATTATATATTATATACACATTATAATAGACATGCACATCAGTAGATGTATAATGGAAATTAAAAAAGAGAGACTCTTCTAAAGCTCTCTTTCCTTTACTCCATCTGTGCATCTAAGCAAAAATAAATGCAATACTGTAAGTCAGGAGGTTCTGAAAAACAGAAGTAGGGAACCTAATGCCCCTCAGATTTTGGATTATGACTCTCGTATGTTCTAAACAGTGCAAGCAATTGCCAACTGTAGTTCAAAACACCTGGAAAACAAAAAGCTGCTTTTCTTCCGTAATGCTTCAAAGTAGCTTGAGTAAACTTTCTATGAGAAACACAAGTCATGACCGTGCTTCAGCTAGTTAGTGGCTGCCAGTCAGGCTAAAATCTAACACTTTCCAAATCAGCTATCAGAATGATATATAGGTAGTCCTCGCTTAGTGACCAAAATTGGGACTGAACTGGCAATTCTGTTGCTAAGCACCATGGTTGCCAAATGAAACATCACGTGATCGCACCAGACTTATGATCTCACTTCCACTGCAGTTAAGTGAATCACAGTCAGTAAACAAAACAGCATGTGACTGCGACTTGTGATTTTCCTGTTGCCTTTTCCATTGACTTTGCTTGTCGCAAGCCAGTTGCAAAGCACACAAATAGCAATCATGTGACTGCGGGACACTGGGACAGTTGTAAATGTGAAGACTGGTTGTAAAGTTACTTTTTTAATACTGTTGCAACTTTGGTCACTAAACAAGGTATACAGTCCGCCCTCCCTTAAGCTCTCAGAGCAGAGAATTACAGATGTTACATTATGTCATGCCCCCATGTATGGGATTTTACATGAGTTCCACCCACCCCCTAGTTGGGGGGGGAGGAATTTCTCTATTTTTACAGTATATTATAATATACTGTGATTTATATTATGTATCTAGAGACACTGGATATACATCATTCCACAACAGACTTGATAACCCCAAATAAAATCTGTTCTGTGCATCACAGAGCCTTCCCAAAACTTTTTTCCAAATGGTGGGAGGTTTGGGGGACGGGGGTTGTTGATATCTGAAATGCTGTAATTGCATCCAATCCATTCTTTATTCATCAGAAAATCACCTTTGTAAGCAGAAGATCTGAGACTCGTAGCATCAAAACAAAGACAACCTTTCCTGGATTGAGGGCAACACTTAGTTCTGTGAGGTTGAGTGCAGCATTTAGAAAACAGGCAGGTCAGGAAAACAGAGGTTATAAACAGTCAGGGAAGTGAGCTGCACACGATCCAAAGAGATGATGTATACATAAATATTTAACACTTCATATAAAGAGGGAGAGAAAGACGTATCTCTTAGCCATCATGGCTAAAACATTTCTACATCATCTGTCTGAAAAGTACACCAACCAATTTGTCATCAAATGATGCACTTGAAAAGATAGAAGAGGTGCCATTTAAAAAGTGAGCAGGTCAACAATAAAACAGTTCTGAAATTGAGCTTACAATTCATCTATACATTGTATATTCATTCCAATCTGAATACAGGGAGTCCCTGGGTTAAGAATGCCTGGTTTAAGGATGACCCATAGTTAAGAAGGGAGCCTACTATAGCAAAATTTAAGTTAAATACACAATGATTCGAGTTCATTACACGATACTACTTATCCAGTATTATACAATACTGTTCCTGCTTACATACAAATTCGACTTAAGGACAGACCTTGGGAACAGAACTCATTCTTAAACTGGGGACTACCTGTACTTTTTATGTCAAATTTTTTCTCCCTTGAACGTAAGAAAGTCAGTTTTTCCAAATCTGATGGCAAACTGCATCATTGCCAATGTTCACAGCAAACCAGGATGAGCCCCAGGGACGATTCCAAAACCTGAAATTTAACCCTTAAGTTGAATAAGGAATAAGAGATGGTGGACAAAATGTCTGCCTGAGAGCTGTCATAAGAGAAAGACAAAGTTTAATTTGCTATGAGGCAACTTTCTACATATGCCCTCATCCAGAAAGGAGGCTCAGTTGCTTGCTCACAAATCTGTCTACATCAGATCCAAAAGCACTTCATCTTAGTTACATAAAGTAGGAAGAGCATATACTTTGATTTACCCAAGTCGATGATGTATTGCTATATGCTTCACAGAGGGCCACTTTAATCTAATATCTGTGCATATTTTCTTCATTTCGGCTTCTGCCATTGCTGTGTAGGCTTCATACTCTAACTGTATGACTTTTCTCCCTTCAGAGTTATTCCTTGTAGTGCCTGAAACAAAAGGACAATACTTAACAGACATTCTGGACCAGTAAGAAGTTTAGCTTGACGGAAGGCTAAACTTAAGAGCTTTATCAATGGGTAATTAACAATCTCTCTCTGTGCTAAGCATGGTTTTGCCTATGCTTTGAATAAGCCACAATAATCTGATTTCTGCATAATGCTTAAAATAAATCATGGGCTACAGACCTACAATGAGTTCACACATCTCTCAACCACATTAAGGTTTGGGCCCAGATTCCCTAACAGTGCTCGCACCCCCCGATAAGACTCACTGCTAATTGGAGGCCAAGCTCAGGCCTTAATTTAATTGCTAGCCTTTTTACGTCTTAATAAATAAATAATGTATAATAGATAAATAAAATCATAAATTTATTTATAATAAATACATAAATGTTTATTTATTTAAAAGGATAGGTGGGCAATACTAGGCTAAATGTGGTCTACCTCAATGTTTCCCTGTGTTGTGTGAATTCTCAAGGACTTATCAGAAAACTGCGATTAGTACAAGCACTTCTCAAACCAGTTTTCCATGTCTTTATTTTAGGGATGCAGCACACTACTGTAACTGTAGCAATCCTCCCCCCCCTTTTTTTTAAACTCATGTCATCGTAGTCAGTTCAGGCACGCAAACTACTGGCTCAGTGTGGACCTGGGAATTGTGCAGGCTGAAACTCCCATCCCCTTCAAGGGCATAGATAAGATGCTCTAAGTGTCATCTGAGATTTCTGAAACGAACAATATGCCTGTGCAATCAGAGCCAAAAGATGAAGCCCTGAAAAGCACACAACAGCACGTGCAGCACCAAAACTTCCCTGTGCAAATGAATGCCCAAAAGCCTCCATGCTTCCCTGCGGTGATAGCCCTCAGAGCAGACAGAACTAGAGATCCCATTTTATTTTTCAGTAACAGATTTTAATCCTCAAGGTTTAGAATTATGTTTAATGTTTGAGTCCTTTTTCCTTGTTCTAAACCTGCTCTATGACAGCTTTGGTTTCACTGGCTCCTACAACTGCTCATCTAATCTTCAATCTCCAAGTAGAAGTGATTTTTTAAAAAAAAAGATAAATTGGTGGGTTCAGCTCTGACCAAGAGGTTCATGTATCAAACTTACCTACAAAGAAAGATGCAGCTCCACAGCAAGGAGAAATGACCAGTGCTGCAACTTCCTCTAGTGAGAGCTTCTCATACTTCAATCCAATTGCATCCTTGGGTTTATCCTCATTTTCACTCATGATTTCTCTAGAAGTAAGAGATGACACAATGATTAATTTGCAAGTTGCTGCTTGCCTGCCTGTGGGAATTAGATTACAGCACAGGTCATGAGCAGGATTATTTGGTTCAACTGCCTTACAGATTATTTCAATTCTTCTTTGCGGGGAGCGGGGGGTGTCTTCAAATCAGTGTTGACTCCTGGTGACTGACTGGATTAGTCCCTGCAATTTTCTTGGCAAGATTTCAGAAGTGGGTTGCCATTTCCTAGGGCTGAGAGAGAGTGACTGGCCCAAGGTCACCCAACTGGCTTCATGCCTAAGGCGGCATTAGAACTCACCATCTCCTGGTTCCTAGCCTGATCCCTTAACCATTACACCATACTGGCTCATATTTCAATATACAACAGAGATTTTGCTGGCCTCTGTAGAACAGGAGACAATGGGCACTTTTCTTGAGACTGGGAGAAAGGATGGTGCACTTATTAATTTCGGCTTCAGAAGAATGCTGGGATGCGTGACCAGCAATGTTATCAGACTTAAAGCATGCCCTCTGTCGCTGAAACCTTTGACAAAGAACTGGAGAAACAAACGGGGGGCAGGGGCGACATTAAGAAGTAAGTCCCTTAAACCTCTATAAAGAATAGGCTGAACAGTTTAGAACTGCCAACTCCAAAGATGCTTTGGGGACCACAGCTGAAATCTATAGAGGCTCAAACCACTTACCCTACTCTAGGAGATTCTGAAATAACAAAAGAGTTCAACTGATGGGACTGTGCATCCTAATTGTAAATAACTAATGACTTTTATGGACCACATGTTCCCTGTTCTGCAAAGGGACATCATAGCCTCTTAACAAGTGGATTCTATGGATCCTTTCCAGTTTGGGTTCAGACTAGGATCAGTCATGCAGATTGCCTTGTTTGTCCTGATGGATGTTTTGTACTGAGAAAGATGCAGAGGGAGCATGAGTCTATTAATGCCTTTGGATCTCTCAGCAGCTTTTGTAATATAGCTGGCCATATGCTGGGGGAGCTGGAAACTGGAAGACCTGCTTAGTTCCCCTCCCATTTCTGCTCCAATACTAGAAAGTAGTGTTTCTGCTTGAGTTCTTGGAGATCTCAACAAGACATAGTTTGTCACTGATGGTATTTATCATGTATACAAAACTGCAGGGAAGGATCAAAACTGAAGATGTGGAGCAATGCTGATGATACATCTCATTTCCTCCAGAATCTCTATGTGTATCGAGGCAATTATGGATTGGGTGTGGACCATAAATAAATAAAAAGCTCATTAGCTTAATGAGCTTACTGGCTGGCTAAAGTCAGACAAGATGGGGAGTTGCTTCTGATTCCAGGGCTGGATTTTAAAATTTGGGAGATATATTTGTGGATGGAGTTACTTTCCCCTTTAAGAAGGATCTAGGTTTTCCTGGGTCCAGCACTTTCACGCTCATGCAGAAACCTGAAAAACTACAGGCTGCTTTAATGAATAGCAGAAAGATACTGGGGTGGCATAAGATCAAACCATTTTTCCCAAATTATTTTCTAAGTATGTGCTGCCCTATTGCCCAATCTGGAGTCCTTCTGTTGTACTTTGTCTCCATCATCTCTAGGTAGTATGGCCAACGATCACACTATCTGAGAATTCTGGGAGTCGTAGCCATGATCATTTGGGGGTTGAGGAATGCTGCTTTAAGTTATTCTCAATTAATATATATCCAATAAATTTCATTACAATGTTACTGTTTCATCTGTGCAGCATGCCAGAGCTGATCTCCAAAAGGTGCTTCAGAACATGCAGGAAAAGATGTGGCTGCTTGAAAATGTGCAAGAAGGTGTTCTGCCTGCTTTGAAGCACCTTTTGGAGACCAAACCCAAAACACTGTAGAGGAATATCAGCTTGATATTTCTTCTTCCTCCTCCTCCTCCTCCATCATCATCATAATCTCCAGATTCAATATTACTTTTAGCAAAACACTATCACATACCTGTAGGTATCTTCCTAGAGCTAACCTCCACTAAGAGGTGGGATGATGGCAACTTCGTCCCCTGTGTGGAGGATGAACTGCTGATCCCCAAGGGGTACGTATTCCTGACAAATGGCAAAGACAACTTGATCTTCAATATCAGCAAGTCTGAAGGAAACACATAATGGTAAAAATTAGTAATTGATCTGCTTCTGCCACAGATCCCTGATCTTTTTGGATAGGAACTTGCAGAACATATTATGGGGACTCTCAGAAAATGCACATGGAAAATGCACATGGGTTCTTCATCCCAAAATGGCTACCAGGCCAGATAAAACCAGTCACAGATTTATGAGACTATTACTTGCCATCCCTTCTAGCTCCCCTTTCTGCATAGCATTCCGGACAATCCTTGCTCACCTTTATCCTTTCCTTGGCCAAGTTTCTATTTCAAACAGACTGGACTTTCATTCCCCCATCTTTTTTATTTTCTGAGAAAACTTACGGGGTCCATTTAGAGTCCAGACAAAACTACTGACTGGTGATTTGCAGTATGATTGATTTTTTAAAAATTCTTTTCTTATCTTAACCTATCCTACAGAGAAAGTCAGATGAATAAGGGGTATAGGGGGTTGTTTCACTGGCCATGTAACTCTTTGCCCAGCTTCATCCAGTGTACCAGTTGTGCCATTTACTGGACCAGGAGCCCTTCGGACAGTCACTCCTGCCCTACTCACCTCACAACTGTATTTCTACAATGCAATCTACGTAGGGCTACCTTTGAAGACCACTCAAGCTTCAACTGGTCCAGAATGCAGCAGCGCAGGGAGTGGTGGGTATGCCTTGGTGCACCTGTATGACAACTTTGCTCAGGGAGCCTGTACTGGCTACCAGTCTGCTTCTTGGGCATTCAAGGTGCTGGTTATGACCTATGAAACCCTACATGGCACAGAACCTGCCTATCTCCCATAGGGTTTGTCTGGCCAGTCCAAGCTATCAAAGTCAGCACACTCTGAGTCCCTTCAACTAAGATGGTGTCATCTTTCAGGACTCAGGAAGTGTGCCTTCTAAGTTGCAGCACCCACCCTTAGGAACAAGGTGCCCACCCTGATGGCATTCCAGAGAGCCTTAAAGACCTGACTGTTCTTTCAGGCCCTGGGCTGGGGGGCTGGAGCCCCTTGTGGGTTGTGTCTGTATATGTTTTTGGTGTTGTTGGCTGAATCTGTCATTTTGTTCTTCCTTTTTTTACTTCTCCTCTATTTAGCTTGGTTTTTCTTTTCTTTCCTTATCCATATTGTATTTTATTCTGTTTGTTATGTTGTGAGCCGATCAGAGTTGTTCTACAGTCAGGCAGTGCTTTAAATAGAATAAATTAAATCAAATTAAAAAATGCTAAGGCTTTCTGAAATACCTTAGCATAGTTCAGTATCTCAGCCAGTGGCAGAACCTAGTCAATTCTGGCTGATCTCCAAAGTAATGCAAGGCACAGCCTGGTTAGTACCGTATTTTTCCGACAATAAGATGCTCCCATGTACAAGACGACCCCCAATTTTCCAACCCAAAATTAAGAAAT